GCGCGCGCAGTTGTGTTGCAAAGCGCCGCACACTTATTTTAGCTACATTGAGCTTGCCGATACCGACGCTTCTATCCAGGTGTGACTCGACAGTTGCTGCCGACCAAATGCTTGTCAGCAACTGACGCGTAGCTGCTCCCGAATGGAATATTGGCAACGAAGTTTGTCACAAAGCGAATTCTGCTCGAAAGAAAAGCAAAATGTTCATAAATTCTTAAAATATCGGCCATGGCCCGTCAATTTCAGGCGATTAATTTGCTCTATCCTATTTTGTTTACTAAGAATTGTTTACAAATTTAAAATCGCTCCTTGAGACGCGCATCACGCATTATGCGCATTTGAGTCCGCAAATATTAAACATACAAACGGTAGTAACTCACAGCAAAACTACTCCGGAAGTCAGCCACCGCTGCTTCTTGCCAGTTATTTTGAGGAAATGTTTTATTTATTGGTTTACAAAATTTTAAAAAAAGGAATCAACTGGGAACTAATAAGAGACCAGCACTCACAAAACAGGTTTGAACCGACAGGATACGTGGAGTCGCTTTCACTGCAGCGTTTATTGCACACGCGAGAGGATCTCCCTCCCCCCCCCCCCCCCGCCCCCCCCAAGTTTGCTTTCTTTCAAATATTCAATTTAATGAGACATTCCTTTCTTAGTTTTATTTTATCCGAATCACAATAAAATAAATACACCCTATTGGCCGTGGTACGTGTTGCAGTGGGGTACAGCGCTGGCCAAATCTATTTTCATCATCCAGCTTTTTGTACTGAGCTGGAGAACGGCACACCTTCATCCAAACGCTTCGACACCTCAGCGCCAAAAGTATTTGTTGGCACGACTGCGCGCACCACATGCGGTTACAAAGTTTGGTGAAATATCCTACAACAAATATCACATCACCAAATAAACACAACGCGTGAAACGCTTTGCCGCGCGTTACCCAAATCGCGCATGGGCATGCTGACGAGACGAGAGATCCAAGATCTGCGCGGCCTGTCCCAGTCTGCCCTGCCTGTGACATCCCAAACGATGATGATGATAGCTAGAGAAGCGCGCCCTGCAGTTTACACACGCCGACAATTCTTCATTTCACCGTAATGTGACACAAAGCAAACGCCACGTCCCTCTCGACACAATCAGAGTAACGGAGGTGATGTGCGTGATAGTCCTTACGAAAGGTGAGCAGAAGCGTAACCCAAGCAGTTGGAGACCAGGGGAAGCAGGAACTCCTCTCTCACCCCAAATATTTTCTATGCCCGTTGCGGGTAAAAACAGCAGGACAAGCACCTCCCGCAAAGATCTTTCGAGTTTAGCAGAGCCAACACTGGAGATGAGGCGAGTCACTCCTCTCCTCGCCTCGCCTTCCCCCCTTCCACTCCAGTGCCACAGGTGCCGATGAGACTAACAGTCGCGACATGACTGAACGTGGATTACGCCGAACCGTCGCAACACGACCGACATCCCTCCTACGACAAAAAGTGCATTCCGTTGGATTTCAAGACGCAGAGAACTGCGCCTTGAAATTTCACACGGTAAAATTGACCCGCTCAGTGCACATTCGGGAAAAGTTCGAGCTTTCTATGTGCAGATGCTGATTTTTCCGGCTCGTTCTACAGAGGGTGGTTTGCTTGGGGCACCCTATAAATTTGATTCTGTAAAGTTCACATTACCGCTTGAGACCGACATGGAAGGATGTACTTAAAGGGAAGCTGAAGAGTTAAAACAAAAACGAGTTAATGGTTGATTTTGACGCGTTTGTGCCTGCTGAGTCAAAATATCGCAACCATTTGACCCAAAATGATGCGTAAACGCGAAAAAAAAGCGAAGAAATCGGAAGCGATCGCCGCAGCGGCACGCCATTGGCTAGTCACGCGTGACGCGCCACTACGTCGAACGAGGACCATCTCGATTCTCGCTTGCTCCGTCGCTTACGGAAGTATCCGGGCGCTGAGGCTTCTGCTCTTACAACCAAAACAAGCGACCACATGATCCGGAGCTGATTACATACCTCCAACATTTGTCATAGCCACGCGCTGGGGTTAGCTAAGAACAGGGCACGCGCTGATTTCCACACATTGTTAAGGTTTCGCTATTGCCGTCATGCAGCAATTGGGCGCGAGCCACATACCCAAATGCATGTCGAGCCCAAATCGAATGATCACGCAGTGCTGATGTCCATATGAGCCACATTTAAATATCGTCACCGCGGGTATCGTAAATCTGGATGAGGAACTTCCTGGGTATTGCATTGTTGACGCCAACAATGCGGTCTCCACAACTTCGTCATCAAGCTTTGCGAAGTAAATACTGAAAGAAAACTACCGCTTTTATCCTTGAGATTACACGGCGACAGGGAAGATTCTTGGTCAGTGGCGTTTTGAAGTATATTTGGTCCCCAGAAACATTCCTACCCGATAACGTTGCACGATCCCTTAAACATGGCTTGCATGTGACATATTCGCACCATGCCGGTGGTCATTGTCGCTTGTTATTACTGAGAAAAACGAAACGGGTGGTTTAAAATGCAAAACGTCCGCGTTCAGCGCCAAGAGCATCACAACAACAGCAGATGTGACGTAAGTGCAAGCCATGTATTTGAGAGAAACAAATAACCGCCTCTGTGGCTCCGAGGCAAAGCGGCGGCATACGGATCCCCAGGTGACGGTTTCCATTCCCGACCGAGGCGCCCTCCATCTGACGGAGAACTTATTGCGCCGAAGGCGCCGTGGAACCCAGATTTCGGTTGCATGTCAAAAGATCCCCAAGAGATAGAGATCATTGCATAGTGCACCACTGGGGCGTGCTAGATACCTTTCGTTGATTTAGCACGTAAAAAAAAAAAAAAAAAAAAAAAAAATTGATATTGAGAGAAACGAAATCTTTCTTGGTGCGGCGTCGTGAGGGACGGGGCGAGCGTGTGGTCATGTAAACAAGGTGGTTTCCAGGTTCACGCCTTCTGATTCGTGGGGCCGGGGAACTATTTCAACGCAGTATGTTTGCGATCAAGGCAGGGCGCTTTCTCAAAACGGCCGCTTTGGCGCTTTGCTCCTGCCAGCCTCGCCCTTCCTTTCTCTCCTAGATTGGGCGGCCGGTTCAAAAGCTGATCTCGCAAGCTTTTCCCCCATGGTTATTCCGCCGCGCTGACGGCACGCACAGAGCGAACTCCTCCGGGCGATATTCGTCATTTTGTTTCTCTATGGAGTCTAGTCTTAATGCTGTAAAGTCAGCAGCCTTGGGTTCCTTGAATTCGTTTCGGTGATAACGCAAGAATGCTGTTTAGTCAGATCTCATCCGAAAAAGCACCAAAAATGTGTCTCTTCCGGTCAACCTCCGGATGGCAATCCCACTTTTCTATCGAGACATGCCGTTTTAGCCGTACCAGCATTTTGGGGGGAGATTTCCAATAAGATAACGAGTAAGACCGTGTCATATGTTCTCTTTATTAAACATGTCATTGGAGTATACTTCTCCGGTTACGACAGATACTACTTATTTCCGAGGAAATTTGAAAAAATAAAAAAGGGTCTTCTTTTTTTCAGGGTTACAAATTTTCAGAACGCCATCTGCATTAGGAAAAGGGAGTAACAAACCATTTAAGATGGTTACTCAAATTAACATTGAAATGAATGTAGGGTGGGGGCGTGGACAATTTTTTGTAACGCGTAATGCGCGAGGAAAAATATATGCGTATAAAAAATTATATGGTAACCTGTTAAGAAAAAAAAAAATCAACATCAAAGGGACGAAGGTTGTAATGGTATTCCCAGGAATGGATGTGGGTAGAGAAAGCGTGGGAGCAGAAAAATATAATTTTTTTTATTTACTTTTTTTTTTTTTTTTACGGAAGCATTAGCTAACTTAAAATTCATAGAAATGTGCGCACATCGTTCACCTAGATCGACTAAGCAGATGACCCAGTCGATCCGGAAGTGTGAAGCAAATAAGGAAATGGGCAAATAATTCAACAGCTATAATGGAGCGCGACCATTTGAACTTTACTTTTGTAACCAAAGGTCGTGAGCTCGGGCTCCCCCTCGGGCGTTGCGGTGTTCGTTTGTTTTTTTCTCTTTTAATTTGCTTTTGTAACTTTGAATATTTATAAATTTTTAATTTTGATAAACTTGGAAGCACGGGATGTGTCGTGCGTGCACTATACGTGCGCTATTGATTGTTATTCTTGGTAGCGAGTAGAAGGAGCTTTGGATGGTTTCGAATGCGTTGCACACACGACACAGTCGTGTGCTCCCCGAGTTTCCAAGAACTGCGAAGATTTTGTTTGAACGTTTATATAGATTTCGCTTCTTCCTAGGGTGCGTGTAGCGCCTTGAGATCTCAGTACTCCTGAATGGCGAGAGGCCCCTTGCGGTAACTGAAGTAATCGTGAGGGGGGGAGGTTTATCGAGCCCTCTAAGCTGGCTCGCGAATTCGTGACATCATATGCCCACTTTTCTATCCATTGGTGCGCTACAATCTACCCCGTAATGTCGTGATATCCCGTGGGGAGCTACACTTGGCCGCTTCGGAGTCAGCTGCATGCGCGCGCCGACGGTTGCCGAGGATATCGCGGGCTTTGCCGTCCCTTTCGCCTCGTCCTCGTGACGCCGAGCAAAGGTGTCGGGCTGCGGATCGCACAGCCCGTGGTTTGATTACTATAGTGAGCCGCTTAGTTATTCCTAGTTTTAATTACGTATTATTGAGTGTGATTAACTATATCTTCTATAGGCGTCTTTGTGTCGGCTCTGTGTGTGCGTTAGGTTTCTTTTGCCTGCGTCACACTGGCGCGTAACGCTCTTCGCATACAATAGAGCCCAGCACGTTTCGTGTTATAGATTACCTGAAACCTGGCAAAAGCCCCCCACCCCCCCCCGTCTCCAATTCACCCACAAAGAAACAACGCCCCTCCATAAAATATACACATGTCTGCAAACTTAGCGGTGTACTCGTTAAAGCCTACTTTTTGCTCAACCGTCTTTACCTGTTCTTTTTCTTCCTACAGGCGCCGGGAACAAAGGATCGGATAACGAAGATGTCGACGAGGAGACAGAGGTCAAGTATTTCAAGTACTGGGCAAACAAGAGTAAGTACCGCTTACTTTGTCCCCCGTTGACCTCGTGACTAACAAATAGAGTGAATGTTACGCGTATACTCAATTAATGAACCTTCGTGACTAACGCCACTGTGCTCTCCGTCCGTACACTCTAAGAAATGCCTGCGCGTCTACTTACCCGCAGAACACTCAAAGAGCCAATTTCTGCGATCTACGAATTCAGCTCAGCGAATGATGAGGCGGAACATTCGTTTGGACCTAAAAATTAAGTATGCGCGGGGGCATTACGCAATGCAAAGCGTCATGTTTGCAATGCCACAACGCAGAGTTAATTTTGAGGTCTAAACGGATGTTCCCCCTCATCATTCGCTGAGCTGATTTCGTAGATCGCAGAGATTGGCTCTGCGAGTGTTTTGCGGGTAAGTAGACGCGCAGGCATTTCTTAGAATGTAAGCCTACACACGGAATGAGTACGATCGTGGGACTCTGGCACAACGGTTGACTGACTCTGACATTAGAGATACTGCGCTTCGGTGTCAGATTAAAGGTGGGCGGAACGTTAGCCCCGGAGCGCCACTAAAAACGTCGCTAACGTTTTCCTTCCACTTTATTATCCATGATTGAACAAGAACTTGTTGAAACTAGGGCGTCTCTTAATGTCCTCTGTATCGTTGTGCCGCTCATTGTAGTGCCCGACGCCGACAGCAGGCAATCTGGCGGAATAAGTAAATAATGCTAAAGTGTGGCCCTTACAAAAAAATGTACTGACACCTGACGACGATCTATGGCAGCGTGTGCGTAGAAGGTTCATGGCACCTAACTAGGACTGCAATTGCCACTAGTACCTTTCTAACACTTTTTAGGAGTTCCTTATAAAAAATGGTCACAGACATCTGAGGTATACTGACAATGTAACAGCCTTTTAGGGACACCCTATGGAAAAGGAGCTTAGGATGACCAGAGGCCATTAACAGCTCTGTTTCCAGATGAAGGCAAGTTGAATGTAGCATAAGTGCAGGATGCCGCTACAAGTGTAATATAATCTCAGCGGCAAATTTTCTATAGGAGGCTCCTAGGAAAAATGTAAGACCAACCAGCCAAAAATTCCGAAAGATGGTGGTAGAAAAGTGCTAGACCCTCCGCGGCCAATTTTCCAATTTTCTTTAGGGGATTCCTAGATAGGTACTAGAAGGAACATAGCCATAATCTAATAGGGAATGCTTAATCAGCTCCTAGGATAGGAATAGTAGGCCTAGGCTCCATACCATCGTCTTCTCTTCAACCTAATCACTGACAAACAAAATCAAATTTGAGAAAATTGGGGTATTATATCTTTCTAGAAATTAATTTAACATATTCTAGATGTGAGCATATTTGAGAAAATGTATTCGGAAAGATTATCAGCACAGAATTTAAATTTCAATTGAATCCTACGGATCAAGATGTTAGATTGGTAAACATTTGTCATTGCTTCCCTTTTTATTAGGGCTGGGCGTCGGTTAAAGCTTTAACCGATTAATCGCTATCCTTTAAGCGATTAAGTAATCTATTGATCGGTTCCGTTCATTCCCGTGCATAATAGCGAAAAAATTAAAAATAACACGTTTTGATTTACTGAATATGTGGTGAACGGCGCAATGTACAATTTACGATTTTAAATCATCCTTGATGTGTAGTTAAGTAAAGTCAAGACATCCACACCCTCAAACTATTTTCCAGCCGCCGAAGCAAAGGGTTTCGTGGACATTCTCCAGCAATAGCGAACTGCCTTCATTGTTCACGACAGCCACTGTTGCTCTAAACGGACACTCGCACGATGTTGAAGTCGCTGGGACACGTACAACCTTCTCCACTTGTATGGAGTTACAAATCTCGCTCCTTTAGGCCAAAATTTCACCTAAAGCTTGTCTTCATAAAGGTGTACTCGTCCACGTGTGCGTCGTGAAGAAGTTGCATATTTTACTTTTTTCCTTTGTCAAAATTTAACCCCGATAAAAAAAAAAAATCAAACGCGAATAAAGCATTAATCGATTAGGCGGTAGGTTATTCGAGCGAGTGCTCAGCCCTACTTTTTACGCAAACTTTCATTAAAAAAAACTTTTTTTTTTGTCAGTAGCTTAGACACTGCAATCGTTTCAATCGTGACACAGATGCTTTTCTGTTTTAGCGCCTAATAACTAGAAGTGTCAATATTGTATTAATGAACAAAGGAGGTTGAACATCTCGAACTTCACAAATTTATTTAAGGCGCCTCGAACCTCCGACATTTTATTTATACCGTCTTAGAATCTGATAAATCTATTTAAATCGCGAATGAAACCCTTTGAAAACACGAACTCGCGCGGGTGATAGCAAATTCACTTGTAAGATAAATGGACACGAGAGATTGTTTTCGAATCTCGTCGAAGTCAATTCCACACTCTATTCCGCATACAAGTTCGAATGGAGAAACTGATCTGTGAGGCGTGAAGCCGCGGTCCCATGACTCGTACATCATGTCAGTACAAAAGACAGTCTTCAGACACTGCCTGAGGTCTTCCTTGTATGACAGGCACTTTGGTAATACAAAAACTATCCGCAGACATGTTTGAAGCATGTACAGTCTCCGGCAATATGAAAGACCCACTGGGAGCGCGTGGCCGAGGCGGTGGCTGGCGGGGGCGCTGCGAGCGCTCCGGGCAATTCCATTCTGCTTCGAGGGGAGGTCGCTCCCTCGGGGCTCAGCGCAATCTGATAAGCGCGTTTCGCTTTAGCTGAGCCCGAGTGAGCGTCCTTTCCTCGAAGCAGAATGGAATTGCCCGGAGCGCTCGCAGCGCCCCCGCCAGCCACCGCCTCGGCCACGCGCTCCCAGTGGGTCTTTCATATTGCCGGAGACTGTACGAATGGACATGCTTCGAAGATGCTCGAGGCGCAGACAATTCTCTCGTTATGCCTGCAGACCACGTCTTTTTTACGACGCTGGAGCAGTGGCTTAGAGGTTGGATCAAATACTACTGAACTGTCATACAACTGAGCGGATTCTAAAGCAGACGGGGATAGTGGGAGATTGTAGACGTCATATGGGAGAGATTGACCGTCGAAGAGCGGTAGGGTCGTTGCCAAGTATAGCAGCACGCAGTGTACTTGCGACGAAAACGGCGGATTTCAAAAAGATGTAATGCGAGTTACGTGTGCCAGCGGGTGGCGGGCGCCGCGCTACACAAACACGACGGCGTGAATGAAGGGAGCCGTCGAGATTCAACACGCTGTGGCCCGCGAGATGTCCTTTGCCGAATCGTACACTATAAACGTATGGAAACTTCGCAGGTTTTTTTTTCCCTGAGCTTGGACGAAGGAATCGCTCCTTGACGAAAATATGAGTGGAACCTTTTTGGACCATGATAGCTGGGGTATACTTGGAATGCGCTGTCACGGACGAAAGTCCGTTTACTGCAGAAATGCACAACCGCGGCACACGAAACAGGGTCAACAAGCACGCGCAGTCCTGGAAAATGCTAGTACGTCATCCGTCAATTTTCGCCACCGTGGTCACACTCCCGCCCGTACCCACGCCCAGAGAGCGGGTGCAGATGATAAAAAAGGAGGTGGATAGCCCACTAACCCACCAGATGATTTTAAGACAAAGGGCTAGGGTGCAAGGAGACTGGCCTAAAATAGCAATACAGTACAATACAATACAGTACAATACAATACAAAAGGATTTACTACATTTTTAAACATTTTTCAACTTAATACCTTCATGCCCCAGAAGGCTTGTGCGTAAGACGCGGAAGTTGCGGTGCAGGGGAAAAAGTCTATCGAGAAAACATTTGGATGCTGAAGAAAATTTCATATTCTAAAACCAACCCCCCCCCCCCCCCCCCCCCCAAAAAAAAAAGAAAAAAAAAAGGAAACAACAACAACAACAAAAAACGTTGCTTTAAAAATATTTTATCTCGTTGCCAGTGTTCGCATCGACCAAAGCACGGAAACGAGGGATACCGTTACCTTCGCATACTAAATATTTGGCGAAACCATTTTGGTTCGTATCAACACTAAATTGATCTGCTATGCGGAGGGCAAGTTCGTCTGCTTCTTGCGCAGGGGGTAGCGGTGACGTCAGAACGCCGAGCCCATGATTGGCTGATCGCGACCCCCTATCTGAGCGTCGTCTGCTCCTTTGCAACGTCGTCTGCTCGCAACGTCGTATTCGTCTGTCTTACCTTTCCTGTGACTTTCGGAAATTCAGGTCTTTACGAGCGAGCTCGACTTCGCCTTTCAGAGTGGGCAGACGAAATAACTCGAGCGGTACGTTGTTTTTGTCTACCTTTTCTGCGTCTGTCGGAGATTCACCGCTTTTTCACCGGCGAGAACGCGGCCTTCGATAAAGGTTTGTGTTTGTTTCCTTTGTCCGTCTTGTTCCCCTTCTCCAGGGATTATTTTCGTCATTCTTGTCCAGCTCGCTTGCACCTTTGCATTTTATTGCATTATAACAATAATTACTTCTTGGTGTCAACGAGTCTACGACATAACTTCCGCGACACGTCCGACGCCGCTCGGGTAGCTCGATCGATCTTGCTCGGATTACCTTCCACAGATTAGCACAGGTTTTCAAACTTTTGCCACTTGGGTTTACGCCACACATACATACCATAATACTCTAACTGACAACAGCCTTTTAGTCGAGCGAGAAAGTTGTGACAACAAGCAGCGGTCGAGCACTTTTGGGCTATGATGTGCTCACAGTACCGATCGCACGGCCGCATTTGTTTATTTACAGTCACTGCATCTGCTGTCGTCTGTCTTTAGCTGATTATATTTGAATAACTCATTAAACGCGAGGTACTATTCACGAAACGCGTGCAACTAACCGTACATAGCGATGAACATGGTGTTTACTTCTTACGTGAGCGAGCGACCTGCCGCGGCATGCTGCTCTTGGGGCGTTGCAGCCACTGCTGTGGAAGGTCCATCTTGGACAGTCCATTTAGAGCCGCGTAAAGTGCGGTAGCCACCATGTGGGTGCACTTTGCAGCCCCGCGAGGGCACTC